TCGTCTAGAAATGCTGCACACACTTTGTGTCAGGTTCGAGGTGATGACATAAAACTTCTCTTAAAAAAAGATGCCATGATGCTTTCGCAGTATGGTAAAAAGATGTTGTTGCTGTCAGTGTGAGAAGCAAATCTGCTCGAGGTGATGACATAAAGCTTCTTTTGCAATAAAACCTTCCATGATGCTTCCATTTAATAGAAATCTTGTTACTGTCAGTGTGAGAAGCAAATCTGATCACACACCTTGATAATTCCCTTGTATTGTACTGTTTGGAGCAGCTTTTGAAGACCAAATATTAAAGCTTTGTCTTTGTGATTGCTCATATCTCGTATTTTCTTTTCCCTTCTTTGAATAAGCAAATAACTATTCTGTGTTTAAAACGCGGCGATAGTCCTACCTTTGGTGTATCGATTTAAATATTTATGTAATTAGGTTAATGAAATGTATACCTGTGTATCGAGTATACTCTGAAGAAACATAATCAAAGCCTCCATGTCAGGTTTACAAATTTCCACTCCCATTAATGTGTTAGAAACTTTGGCTTTAGTGAAACTTTCCCGGTATTTAGACAGGATTTCTCTTGCAGTTGACATATTTCCCGGTCAATATAGTGTTTTTGATTTTTGCGAGACCTGCGCATGCATTATGATTCACATCAGAATCATGAACTATTACACCATTCAACGTCATTTCTGGTGTTTTTACTATATACTTTCTCGGTCACACTGCCCGGTAAATTGTTCTTGTGTCCATCTTCGATATCATTTGTAGTAATTGAAACTGGTTTTGCTCATACTTTAACGAGTTTTCACGCCTAGGGCGACCTTTGCTTATCCTTGTCAAACGATTTTCACGCATACTTTTGTGTCGACGTTTAATCTGTCAAGATCGGGTGTACGATATTAACAACAAGACCTCAGTCGTCACACTACACCTGTCCATAGAATTACTTAACATAACTGAAACATGCGAAGCATACATAGAGGTTTGCTGATCAGTACTCAAGACGTAGTGCATTCATGTTCACGTAAAACAGCTGGTACTCGAAACCGCACGCGTAAACATCAATGATAGATGACGTTTAGATAATGGTAATCGAAAGCCGAACATTCATCCACACGGCCCACTCTTCGCGGTTCAGTCAGTATGTAGTATGTAACCTGCACACGTTGCCTTCTTTTGACACAAAAGTCCGCCTTTAGCCCACGACTTAGAATTTATCGATATCTTGTCTTTGTCAGCGATCACTTTTTCTAGTAAACGACCTCGTCCATTTATTGGGTCTTATTTCCAAACCGCTTGCTGGTTCTGGCGTTAAAATCACCAAAAGTAACATAACCCTGTTGGTAAAATCAGTCATATAAGTTAGATATACATTAAACCTTTCTGTACATACCAACCTTGGGACCTTGCGGGAGTGTCCTTTACAAATGCACGTGACCTCTCATGAAGTTGTACAGAGCAGCATATTACTTTTGAAAATACAAGATATATGATGTTTGTTTATTTTAATAGAGCTATTGCGCTAGTGCATCTCCACATCAAGTTTTTGACATTTCTTTCGATCAATTTTGACTTCCCTCAGTTGTCTTCTAAGTAATTAAAGTTAAGGTCCGAATCGTCTTTGACGAACCCTAAAAGGACGGTATAGCAGTATAATACTGTGTTATTGATCTAGCTGTAACGTTGCAAAATTCTAAACTTCTGAAAGGTATCATTCACTTGTGCATCTTTTGTACAGTTATGGTTTCAGTGTGTTAACACAGACATTGTCGGTAAACAATTCATTTTATCGGTCTATCCTTATGTGAGTGTTGCTGTCTTCACAATGTAGAATGAATCATTTCCGGACAGTTGTATTCACATTCTATTAATTCTGTTATTTAAAAGAAGTTACACTGATCTTTCTGTTCAAGCACATTATCTAAATAAATTACTAGTGAACGAAAGAAAAATGGTCAATGTTGATGGAGGAAATGGGGGATGAAGTTGTATTATTCAGCAATCCCGGAGATAGTTCTTCTTTTCTTCCTCCTTAATCCCACGATATTGCTCTTCCCTTTCACTGCAATTATGAAGCAATCGACGATGTAAAAAATGAGGAAATCGATCTGTATTAAAAACAATTAAGTAATAAACTTGTTGCACAAACCGTCAGTATGGCATTTGTTTGGTAATTACGTACCACTTTCGAATTCAACCAGGAAGTTGGAAATATATGGTTATTTTATACAGAAACATGATATAATATCATTAGTATATACATGAATCGTTCAATTCGAGGTAAGTGTCAGAAACAGTATTTATTGTATAATGAATTTTAAGTATTAATTTATTTCAATAAAATGAAATAAATTTTCTGTTATGTTCAATTTTATCATGCTATAGCATATCTATGGTTTTTTCTTTGCATACAACAACTTCCGTTATCAAATCATAAAGTTACTTAAGATATGATGTTTATTTGTGTTCTTGGTTTTTGTTTTGTTTGTTTTTTTGTTTGTTTGTGTGCTTGGTTTTTGTTTTGTTTGTTTTTTTGTTTGTTTGTGTGCTTGGGTTTTGTTTTGTTTGTTTTTTTTTTTGTTTGTGTGCTTGGTTTTTGTTTTGTTTGTATTTTTGTTTGTTTGTGTGCTTGGTTTTTGTTTTGTTTGTTTTTTGTTTGTATGCTTGGTTTTTGTTTTGTTTGTTTTTTTGTTTGTGTGCTTGGTTTTTGTTTTGTTTGTTTTTTTGTTTGTTTGTGTGCTTGGGTTTTGTTTTGTTTGTTTTTTTGTTTGTTTGTGTGCTTGGGTTTTGTTTTGTTTGTTTTTTTTTTTGTTTGTTTGTGTGCTTGGTTTTTGTTTTGCTTTTGTTTTTTGTTTTGTTTTTGTTTGTTTGCTTGTTTTTATTGATTTATTGATAACCATTTTACAACAAAATGATTTACATAAAGCTGCATTGCGTGTTATCTGGGATGACGTTTGCGTAACGAAGGTAAACCTGGCACAAAATTAACGTGATCATTATCATGTGAATGCTATCCGGACTACCACCTAGGGTAGTGAGAGGCAATACTACAGAGTATAGGTTTGTGGGTATTGATAAATAAAACACAAAGCCTCTTTCTGATTGATTTCCAGGTAAAATAATTTATTGAAAGAGAAAATAGTTTATTTACAGTATTTTTAGCATTCTACGACAAGTACATATTATGTATCTATATCATTTAGGCTGTTTACGTAGAATATCAGTAAATACATATTGTAGAACAGTCTGTTCACCTCTACATGTTTGTGTTTCAACACCATTATATCCTAAATACGCTATTTGAATGTTAAAATAGACATATTTTCATCAAAGTAAAGAAATTTGAAGTACTATATCTTAATATACAAATTATACTATGTAATGATTTCTTGGATAATTTAAAGCAATAATGAATATGTTCAAGGATACATAATTTGATAGCATTATTAATATGTACAATAACAACATATGCATTTATGAAACCCTCACTAGTGCAAGTCACTCTTCCATTTGCTATGAAAATGAACATGGCATTTCATAACATAAATGTTTTAGAGTCCTATACCTTAATGCACAAAAATAACCTGCATGCAAACAAAATTAAAATAGTGATTATATACTATGTCCCCATTATGAGACTAATATGTGAACAAGATGTTGTTCGGCAAATCTATTGGCTGAATAAACCCGGAGTAACAAAGGGAATGATGGCATCGTAACAGCAATCATGCACAACCATAAGATATTGCATTTGATCTTGTCAGAGTTAGTATGTGGAAAACGACCGAAACACTCGTTTATAACTGGGTTTCTACTTTTGATACTGGTATCACACCCTATAACCTGACTAAAATAGATAATTTTCTGATCAAAGTCTGGCGCAAACGATTTCATGCTCAAAGCCTTTCATCCATCATCCATGTGCAAATGACATAAAGCAGAACAAAATTTCCTGTGTGTATTTTAACTAAATTCTAAACTGTCCTCTGTAAGAATTTACGTGAAAGGTAGTAGTTTAAATGACCAGAACATCCAGGAGTCTGCATTTTTTTTTTCATTTATCCTTAGCATCATTTGTTTTTACATTTAGTTGTATTGACATCAGACTCCTTATGTGAGTCAAAGTGAATATCCTGACATCAAAATATGTTTATAGTCACAGTGAATATCCTGATATAAAATTGGTTTACAATTACAGTCAGTATCCTGACATTAAAATGTATTTATAGTCACAGTGAAGATCCTGACATCAAAGTATGGTGATAGTCACAGTCAATTTCCTGATATCAAAACTGGTTTATAGGCACAGTGAATATCCTATCATCAAAATGTGTTTATATACATATCTTGATTACTTTTTGCAAAACAACTTTGGTCAGACGGTGAAGTTCAAACTTTGCACTCGTAGGGGGAAATTAACGCTTGCAGATAATGACACAAAATACATGATAACACATATAAGCCATTGGAAACAGGTGTCATGACCAGATATTTTGGTAATTGTCCTATTAAAACGGTAACTATACTGTAGGTACAAATAATTTGATATATTTTCATACAATTGGACTATTTCTTAACAGTATATTTTTTGTAATTGCTAAGACAGCGCTGACTGCTGTAATGCACAGTGTACATATTCAAAGAAATAAGATACGAAAGAATAAAAATACAATGTAGAACACATGATTGTAGCAATTTATTTAAGATATGATTAGATGTACTTTGTCATGATAATATACTATATGTTTGTTGTATATATAGTAACAATTGTATTTATCTGGTAAATAAATCAAGATGAGAGGGGAAAAAAATTATAAAGTGTTAGCAGGTTTCCCAAGGTATGATAACGTCCCTTCAGAGCCATGTTAACTAATTATACAGTGCATATTTGAGCACAAATGACTCCGATGGAAATCTACCGTTAATCGCTATTACGATCCTTGTCCAGTCGGTTCGACAGCTGATCGGAGGCATTACAATATCATTGTGTGGATTGGTTATCGGAACTGTGGTGGAATGTCTAGCCATGTTCCTTCCATCTGAGTACTGTCACCTGTAAATACAAATATGGAAACTAGCAGAAGTAAGGAAAAGAAATACAGAAATGTATACAGAAGCATAATAGAAATCTCAATTTCGAAGAAACTAGTGCAAAATATAAGCAAAAACATTACATGTACTCTCCTTAAAATTACATTTAGAACAGAATAAGACCAGGTGTTCCGGAAGTGTAAACGTCTTCTGTTTCACTGTCGATACCTGTCTTGTATATCTTGGTCGATGCACGTAAGTAATTTCACGTTCTCAAGTGAGGATGTGGTAAACAAAAACGGAACAATCAGGATACTAACGAGTGTTGTGAATTGGCGACAACTTGTTCTAAAGTCTTGATATCGGGAATTAATCCTTGAATATTGAACCAACTTTGGCTTGTTAATACCTTAAGTTAGGGATGCATTCATGTTGCTATTCAGAAATGGAAAAATCACCTGAGGAAAGTAAATAGAAGATGTAAAATGAGATTGTGTTCTTAGGGTAGTATATATTATCTACATCATAGAAATCTAGATATCATAACTAATCAACTAGTGTGTAATGTCAATATATTGATTAAATTTGGATTAATCTATTGTATCTACCTGGCCCGGAGGTCTAACGAGCTTACGTCATAAATATCGATACATGTCATAAATGGTTTGCCAGATTTTTATAAAAAAAAATTGATCAGAAACATCCTTCAGAAAGACTTTTCTGAATTTTGTATAAAAAGATGGGTTAAGGCTCTTTGGGCCTGACGGACGGGGACTAAAATGGGAAATCAATAAGATTCTTTAAAAAAGTTTCCTCTGCCGTAGGAGTGGCTAGATTTTCTGCAGTTTAGTCTGAAGCACTCTTGGGTGAATGGAAATTACTTTTTTTTTTTTTTATAAATAGTTGGTTTCGGCCTTTTTATTAGGAATGCCTGGATTATGGCCGAATTTGATCTAAAGAATCCTTGGGTGAATTGGGGATTTATTTCGTATAAATGGTAGGTAACGCTTCCTTGATGGGAGAGGCAGGAGGAAAAGAGCAAATGCTTTGAAATCTTTCTTCAGTTGGAACACCTTAGTTAAGGATGCATAAAAGCCAATCCATGACGTTAACTACATCATATAGCTGTTTTTCCTACGACATTTCAGCGATGCTACCGGCCTAAATATCAAACCTATGTGGCTACCGAGGAAGACCAAAGGGATCGAAAGACATGGCAACATCTAGATAGGTATCTGCATCTGAATGCAGGTGTTATATAAATGGTGAGTATCTGTATTCGGGAAACATAGTATTAGATTTGAGACCCTACTTTTTTTCATTGAAAGCTTTTGACCGAAGAATATCTCAAGGAACAAGGGAATTTTGCTCACGCACCGAATTAAATAAAAGTGGATGGTTGTTTTATAGCACCTTGAGGGACTACTCAGGAGAAAAGATGCAAAAATTCAAGCCATCTGTACGGCCTGTGCTACGACCAATTTAGTGTCGTAGCCAAAGGAGTATGACAGGGTTCAGTTTTACATCTGAGAAAGTACCAAAACCACAGCGTGCATTACCAAACGATGTACTGTTTGATTAATAAGAATCAATTTGACAATATGGTGGTAAAAGATGTATCAAAACATAGCAAAATAAAAACAAAATTATAGTTTCAAATTTCTAAAAGTATGACTTTTTTTTTTTTTCAGCTAAGACAATTTCTCAAAGACCTGAAGCATGTATTTCCAGTTTGAGTGCACCAGAAATCTTTATCTATTATTAGGCCCTTTATGTCTATTACGTTTGGTGAAAATTTCAGGGAAACCGAGAACGGGTAAAGGTGTCATTTAAAAGTCAAAAGATCAGTATTTCTATTTTAATCAATTTTGTTGGGTTTGATAGGGGTGGTATTTCCTCTTAAAATCTGTTAGAACAATGGTGTACATATTCATAAGATGTCAGTTATAAATAAGTAGATTCTGCTTGAAGTTTCAATGTCAAAAATATATATAATTTTTTTTAATTTAATAAGGTAATAACAATCTCGAACTTGAAGAAATGATATTTCCAACAGTTTCTCAGATAAGAAAACAAATCTTCAAATGAAAAACCTATTACCGTTTTCATTGCACTGAATATTTTCTCAAATTATTTGGCTTATTATGCAATGTGTATACAATGTTTGGATGAAAACATTCAGTAAAATCCTTTCGTGATTGGGTTATACGTTGGTATAAACATTAATACTGGCTCCCTAGGAGACAGAGGATCAGGAACTACTATCGAAAGTAAATATGACACCTTCAGATAAGTTTTCCTTTATATAGTGAAACGTTTGCAGTCAAACTAAATCAAACGACATGTTATATGAACACTACATACCTTTGGAACCTCTTGTTTCTAAATACAATACTCTTAGATATTTCTAAGACATTCGTTAAATTCAGCTTGGATATTATCCCAAAATATCATCAAAGGCATCAAAGTAATGGAAGACCCGTACTAATTGTTATTTATTAGAACTAAAAGAGACATTGGTGGTTTTGACTTCAAGACAACCTTGTTTGTCTCTTTATCTGATTTCTTACCGTGATCTCGATTAGGTAAAGCAGCCTTCATGCCACATGTTCCTTCTATACAGAAATACAGACCCAAACACGAACACTGCACGTCTGCGCTACACGAGCGAGTCTGGATCCCTTCACATCCTGACTAAAATTAGAAAACGGAAAATATTATCGGGACAGAACGGATATTGCACAATACACATGTTTTTATTAAAAATTTCCCACTGCTCTGTTGTTTTTAGAGAAGCGATGTTTTTAAACAGCGTGTAATTCAGATCTGCTGGTTATCGATAAATCTATAGTGGTGATATCTTTAAACCTTCAATACAAAGTACAGTTGTACTATCTAAAATTGTATAATATACACATACAAATTGTTAAAATCATAGGTCATATACTATTACAAATCATATACTTGTTGTAAATCGATATCTAGGTAGGTTTTTACCGACACTGCTGTGTATTTATCACAATGATTATCCCGGCATCTTCTTTGTGAAAGAAACGAGTATCAGAGAGAGCATAACACAGTGGTAGGTGTTTCCTCATACATACAATAAACCCCCTTAGCATTGTAACACCAACAGATACGTAGCCGTAAGTTACGATCTACTGGTACGTTTAATGGCTTCTTTAAATACACCAAGAACAGTAAATGTTGATGTCAAACCTTCAAGATTATACTCGCTGAAATAAAGTTATGCAAGGATGCCATTCTTAGACACTTCATGTATCAAAAAGAAACTTTAAAAAGAATAACAAAAAATAATAAAAGCCCAATAACAGCATGAACATAAGTAACAATTACTTATAATGTATCTAATGCCATTGTTTTCTTTTCATAGGTTGATATATTGACAGTAAATAATGCAGAAAAAATCACGCCAGTAGATTCAATGTTTTTAGTTTTGTATTGGTCGTGGTAGATGGCCAGACTTCCTCTTCAAAAACGCCTAACTTTAGTGGCCCGTGTATTGGTTGGCATTTAGCTTATGTTTTATATACTTTTCATCAGAGCGAAAGTTACAAATCATAGGGCGATGAAATGTAAAACGTTTTTTCTGCTTACTTCAATGTCAAAGCAATTGCATGTAATGAACTGCGTATTTCCACTAATTTTCCCAATAGATTTACCTTCAAACCAACAACGTTACTTTCCAGCATATTAACAATGGCCGCCACTCTACGGAATCCCTCTACAGTATTGCGTGTTAACCTATCAAAAAGTAAACTCTCACGAAATTAGCGGAAGTGGTAGGTTACAATGACAAGTCAAGAGAGAATCCGCATGGTGGCGGCCATGGCATTTATACTGGACAGAGAAATGGCTGGAAACCGAGATGAAACAGTATATAATACTAAATTGCTTTGAGATATTTGCAAACAAGGAGAGAAATGTTAAAACGATGTTAGATTTGTTTTCGCTCCGATGTCAATAATATAAATCATAGTCTGAGTACCGACCCATGCACGGGTCGCTTAATCTGGCGTTTTTATGTAGGGAGGAACTATGACAATCAACCACCACCTTGACAAAACTAATATCGTGGATAGAAGTAAGAAGCCTTCGGACTAATGATGATTATATTGATATCCGAGATTAATGGGATTCATTTCATCAGCAATTAAATTTCAATTATTGTGTATTCGAGACTTACCTCATCGGTGTCAAAAAATCCTTCAAAGTCATTTCCATCGTTGAAAAATTCACCACCAGCAATGTCAGAGCTGTCTAAATTTTCAAAATTTTCAAACCCTCCCCCAAACTCTTCATTATAAAAATTGTCAATATTTTGATATGGTGAAAATGATTCATCGAAAGAAGATCCAGTCTGTGATAACAAAGCCTTGTCTGTGAACCTATTTTGATCGAAAAATTCATCATTGTCAGAAAAACCAATTCCTTCCGAAATTCTCGGAAAATGACCTTCATTCGAAAAATCACTATCATCATTAATTATGTCGCGAAATGTTCCATAATCATTTTGACTGTCTTGAAAGTTATCATGGAATTCTGTACCGAATTTAGCGACAGGATCTTCTGGGAACCCCTCAAAAGAATTCCGATCTTGATTTTCGAACTGATCGACAAATCCTACTTGTCCATGTTGTTTTTGTTCGAGGCCATCCGAAACACTTGCCCGTTGATGGATAGGGTCAAGAATAATTTGTGGTAAATTGAGATTTTTAGCAGTTTCTTTAGATGGGTTTTTGGCTCCATGTTGCTTTTGATGAGAAAAAATATTTCCAGTATCATCAGTAGTCGGAATCACGTGGAGTCTTGTAGATGAATGGTGTCTGGTGCCAAATCCAAAGAAACCATCTCCTTCATCTGTAGTGCCTTGGCTCGGTACAATACCGAACTGATTTTCTTGGCTTATATTCGTATCACCCGTGTCTTCATCCTCATTGCTAGCAATGTCAATTACTTCTTTGTTGCTGAGAGGAAGGTTTGGACGGATAGTTTCAACATTTTCAATTTCGGACAGATTCGGAACTACTCTAGATTGTTCACTTAATAAAGAATCCTCCAATGAAGGTATCTCTTGTCTTTGTAGGTCAAAGTTGTCAGCTGTTTCTACTTCTGGTACGCTTTCAGAAAAATCTGGATCTTTTTCAATGGATCCCGTTTTTGATGGCTTAAAAGTGTTTATGAAGATACCGAATGCATTGAAGGGTCTATACACATTTTTCTCATGTTTTCTCCGAATAGTTTTTAACTTTGATGTGCTGGATTTTGTGTTTTTGTTCTTCATAAAAATTAAAGGAGAATAATGCAGAAATCTTTTCATATATAATCCAGATGGCCTAAATATCTTGCCATCTACACTTGCTCGGCGATGTCTTAGAAAATGGTATTTGGACCATAGTGATAAGATTGCTGGAGAGTCTGCGTCTGTATTCTCAGAAGTTTGTGGCTTTGAAAATATATTATATTTGTACCCGTCATACCATCCGAAGGCTCCACTAGAATTTATCAAAGTTGATAGCACAAATATCACAAGAAGCAATATGTCATATTGGGTATTCATGTTTCTTTTTTTGTATGTTTCAGATAATCACTCGTTTCTCTGTATGTCAATCCAAGACGTGTGCCAACCTAAAACATATAAATATGAAAGGTGTATTTCAACATTGTTGCATTCTGAAAAAGGGAAAACAAATCAAAACCCTCTGAATATCAGCACATAAACTATGTATGCCAAACTGACTAATAAGTTTTGACGTGCTTTTGATAATATAATTCTATTTATACAGACTGAGGATGTCCTTCCCTTGTTAATACCTCAGGAAGTGATTGATACTGGGATACATGATGTTAACATATTTCAAGCTAATGCAGCTATGGTACGGAGATTGTCTCTTTCGTTGCGCTGATCACATCTTGAATACCAATGAATGTCGATACATTTTCCCTTTTGAACGAGTTCACCCTAAACATTGTATCGAACATTACACTAAGCTGAATAACAGATGACAGCTTGTACAGCAGAGAGACTAGAGGCGAAAATGGAAGACCCATGATAATCACAAATACGTGACCACATCTTAAATACAAGATATCAACATGTCCCGTATATTAAAAGCAATAAAGAAGGGATGGTTGGATACTGACGTATCTTTGTGACCCCGGGCCAGGGAGCTGTGCCATATCAATATCCACTGTGATTAGGAGTAGCGCGTTTCAATAAACTTACAAATCTATACTGGACACTGCCTGTGCTATTCACAAAAATGGACTCGAAAGAAGTCTATAGTGTCTTCTAGCTGATTGACTCTTTTCGTTGAAGAGTTTGATGTGACACATAGCGGTAAGCAAAAATAGCCCCTTTAGTCATTAATATCAGATACCATTGTTGATGTTACGATTTATTTGAATCACAATTTACAATATCAACCTGATCATATGTACTTTTTGACTTGATCGAACTTTTGAATCAATGAACCACACCATTTGTACTGTATCAGTGTTATCCATGTGTGTCATCATGCCTAGCTGAAACATCAATTTCTACTATAATTGTAGAACTACAAGCAAGAATATCAGTGGCTTTGTATGTATGCAGATACAAGAGTTGCACACTTGCAAGTAAAAAACACAAAGGTTTGATCTTAATTATTCATTTTCAGTTCTTAGAAAATTGTACAAAAGACACAGAAGTGTAAAACAACTTTATATACAGTTGAACCAAAAAACATATTCACTGCATCATACAGCTGTTTCGTCCCTCTGAATAGTCAGTGCTGCTAATGACCGAATGTATGAAACTTACGAGACGACTATGGTAAAATCGAAGTGATTGAAGGAAATGTTAAAATCTAGATGGGGAGGTACACCAGGTACTGAATGCTGTAGTCAGTCATATATCGGCTTTATGAATACATAATACCAACTGCATATGTTGCATATATGTACTAAACCCAGCATAGGATAATACAATGTAAGATGATGCAGATGATATGCAACGAATACAGTGAAGTTTCCATTATGATGCATTTTAACATAGCCTCAAGACACATGTACTTGATGATCATCTGTTATTGTAGATGTAATTAGCATGACCGATATACTGTAAGGAACAATGTAATAGGTATAGGGTTGGTGATAATATTTCGTATCTGATACGAGGATGTCTAGCTTTTTCTATATTATCTCTGGCACAAAAATGTGTCACGAGACATGATGAAAGCATGGCATTATCACGGAAAGTACACTGGGACATAGGTACAGTGGAGCACAGAAAATCAATGTGGATGTCCGTATTATGATGTTCTAGATAAAGGGAAGACACTTAAAACACACCCAGACAGAAGAGCGGGAATTATTTTTTGAAATTAATTTCGTGTTTACTATAGTAAAATTCATTCACCTCATACTACTGATTTTTTTTTCAGAATTCTAATTCATGATTGAACAATTATGGACACAATACGAAATGAGATCAAATGAAGGGTCATGTGGACACATGTCAAACAGAAGGTAATACAAATGGGTCTAGTTGGAAAAGTATATGGTACTATTTTTTTAATTCAACGGTTTCTACAACGTCATTTAACCAAAGATGCTGACAGAAGGTATGGAATGAATGATAATAATCTGTTTATTGTATCATGGAAACAATAGGGATCCCACATCTGCTATAGACACCCCATTGGTATCCACTCAACCCTTAAAGTGGAGCGAACAAAGTAGGCAACAGGTTCGTTTTCTGGTAGAGATGATTGTTACTGAAAATTAACAAAACATTAAACAGATAGATAGATAAATAAGTAAATATGTAAATGACTAAAACCAGTCTTAAGTACTTCTCACTATTAGTTACATGAACTTATTTACTGATTTTATGTAGTCCATTTCGTTTTACTGTCAACAAGGTTTGTGCTGTTCAGTATCGGTGACGAACGGTGGGTTTAATCGGTAATGGACTGATAATGAGAGTTTTCGCAAACATTCAAATTAGATCAGTAGGCGTTTCTGATTTTACGCAATATCTTCTGTATATAAGCTACACAAAAGACCGCGATATTTAGCAGCTGTATTACAGTTATTTGGTTAAATGAGTGAAAAACGAGTGTGAACTGTGACGTGGAATTAGCTGTTCATCCCAATGTATTTGCAACTAATCCTGACACTTAACATCGACATCAAATAAAAGTAATCCATACATGCATGCTCTATCGGATGACAAGAATAACGCTTTAGGGGCGGAGGAGTGATCCCAATATAACGGTCTCGAGAGGATTTTTTTCTATAGGATGAACTGACAAATCTCATTTTGAATTAAGTGATTAATGCCTGATGTTTGGACTGACTGACATTGTATCTTAGTGCAGAAATATTAAATGGTAGTTTGTGTTCCTTGATGGTCACAGACTGAAATGTTCAATAGCTGCTAGTTAATAAAAAACAAATAAAAGGCAAGACGCATAACAAAGGACAAAATAAATCAAGACCTAATCATCAATTAATTTTATGGGTACTTCTGGTTTGTGAGGACTAAATAACACCGCATATATGGGTATAATGGAATAGAAAAAATACCGTTCATTGCTTGTCTTTATGTATCTTTTTAAGCTTCAAGTTTTGTTAAAATTTCTGAAAAGAATAACCGGAAAAAACTTCGATTTCGTCAAAGCAACCAATCATTTTCTTAAACTTAAAATTATATAATCTTATATATTTATATTACCGGAAGTGATATTATTGCACATGAAAACCATTAAAATGATTGATATCTTAAAAGAAAATTAAGTTAAAACCAAATTGGTATTTGGCAAACCCAAAGAGTAATGGAATGCAATTATAGAATGGATTTGTAAAATGTTCGTTTATGGTTTAATTAGTCGCTTTATTGTATAAATGAATAAACTAGTCGTCATATTTATATTAATATACGGTCAATACAATTATACGGATTCGGAGTGCGTTCACCACTCTCTACAGTTTTAAAGATAAGATTGACATTATGTCTTGTGTTTATACGTGCGCGATAAACCGGAAATTGGTTTCCATTATGTACTTTTAACGTAGGAAGGATTACATTCCGCATTGTGTAAAGCGGAATATCGTGTGAGGGTGTTTAAAGCCTTACTGCGCATGCCCCATTGTAGATTTGCATGTTACGCTCTTGAACAAGCGACAGAGGTCGCAGTATTCAACGAATAAAGAGCTGCCCTAACAGCGTAAATGGTCCAACCTATTCACGAATTGCACGCAAAAGTTTGCGAAAGATGCAAATAAATATTGCTGATAATAGTAATAGAAAGTTCTACAAGAGGCCGATGCATTTTAATCAAAGTTTATGTACTTGGGTTCATGTAAACCGAAAGTTGTTCCCAGGAGAGTTTATGCTATTAACATCAGTACTACAACTCCAAGTACCGTTGTTGCTTTGCCTTCAGTTTTAAAACTTAACTCATGGTTTACTGTATATAGTTGTAAAGCTTTATATGCGTACGCTTTAGAACATGGTGTGATGGAAGAGATAGAGTAATTTCGCACAAGTCACCAAAACAACACACAGAAAAAAGTACTGGTTGTAGTATATGAACATGTACCTATATCGAAATGATTCCTTCTGAGTAAAACATAAACCCTTTTATAATTACCCGTAGCTTCTGTTAACAAACGTTTACTGGAACCCTTTAGGGATTGTTTTCTGAAACTAGATCTCTATAAATCTATCCATTCGACAGGAAAGAGATCGTTCTTGTAAGGATGATTGTAATGCAGTGATAAACTTGTCTGCTTAGTGTAGCTATATATAATTTGTCATTCCTTTACATCTGACGTACTACAGTGGTAAATTACAATAATTGTTCAATTTCTATGAAAATGTACGTTATAAATAATTTTGTGATTTCTGCTTTTTCATTGTTATTTATTTTTGAAAAACCAAAAACAAAAACCAAAAACAAAAAAAAACAAACAAACAAAAAACAAAACAAAACAAAAAAAAAGCTTATTAATATCTATAGTTCCAAGTTTCCGAAAAATACCAATACCCGAAGTAATAAAATGGCAGACCTTGATTTAGGTACAAACATAGCCGTGAAACGCATTCTCTATAATTATCTGCAAGCCTTACACAGACTTAAATATATGTTTGTTGTTAAATGTGATAAAGGAGAGTGGATATTTCCTCGATAGATATACGGAATATAATCACCAATGTAATGAATAATAACATGTATCGAAATTGATATCCTTTATTTAGCTGTTGAAAACGATATCCTTTTATGTGAAGTGCCAGATCAAAAGGAGGTAAATCACATGAAATATATAAGACATAAAGACATGCTTTACATAAGGGATTATGCTGTAATAGGATAAAAATTCTCACTCACTGTCAATCGTTGAACCTGTCTGTTATCAATGAAGAGTGACACTTTCTTCCTGGTTCTGACTGACATATAAGAATAAGAGACAGACACACCGAAATCAATTGAATTAAAATATAGACACATGGAATTGTAATAAACTTTTATTTCAAATATACAAAATGTTGAAACGTGACCTTTTAAAATCAAT